CCGGCATGAAATACTGTCCCGCTCTGCTGAGCAGGCCAAGCTTTTTAGAGGCCAATTTGGCCTTGTCTTCCAAGTGACCACGAAACTGCACGTCACTCGATATGTCGACTCCGAGGATACCGATACTGGCTGAGGCAAGAAGGGGAGTGCTTTGAAACTGAGGAGATACGATAAAGGGGTTCTTTTTAGCGGTTAACGCGCAAACTTGTGTCTTCTGAGGATTAAACTGGACTAGATTTAGTCGCCCCCAATCAGAGACTTTGTTCAGCAAAGACTCGACTTCAGACACAAGTTTGTTCCGGTACTCGGCGATGTTTTCCCGAGAAATATTGGAACGGCCGGTGTATAGAGCATCACCAGTGCTGTCATCCGCATAGCAATGAATGTTACCAGTTAGCAACATATCATTGATATGCAGAAGAAACAGCGTTGGTGATAGCACACAGCCTTGTGGAACACCAGCGTTAATAGGCTTGTAGTCAGAACATGCACCGTCTACAACGACCATGATGCTCCGATCTTTCTTATCATATCAATTTGAGTCTTTAGCACATGTGTATGGTACGGTTTCTTTACTCATGTGTCTTTAATATACTATAAGTATTGACATCGTGTCTCTCGCTATCAATTAAGCCAATTTTTAATATTATAAAAATGTCCAATGTAAGTCCTACTTAACAGTACTCATATATTGTTATTGAAAAAGTAAAGAAAATAAAGAATTCTTGTTTTACTATATCTATATGTTGTTTGTCCTTAAAGTGATGCGGATGGGAATTCCGCAAACCACCACTGTGAACTCAAAGGGCAGTTGATAGGGTTTAGTGAATAAAAAGTACAAAAATCCCAATTGACGGGCAATTCAATAAAGATTAGTGGAATAACTCGATCTATGCAACATGAAATTACAGTATTTTAAAGTCTTGCATTGGTAGGTATGCTTAAATTTGGTCATTATTTTATTAATTATGATATCCCAGCAGACGGTAGCACCCAGCCATCATCATCATTTATAAATTCTAATTTAATGGCGATGATTATCTTGTCCATGTCCACAGATACATTTTATTTTACGTAGGTATTATCCATCATTTTGTTTGTCCTGTGTAGTTGAGACTACATTCACAATTAAGCTTGACTCATGCGTCCTGTTGAGGGATTGTAAAGACTACTAAGGCCGGACTACTACTACTACTTTGACATCAGGACGTCAAACATCTTAGTCTTCTCCGTAACTATGGATACTGTAAAATATCCGAAATGTCCAGAATTAAAATGTTATTATGTTACTTTCATTTTAACTAGTTTATTGTCGTGAAGCGACAATTAAAAAAATATAGAACCTAACCTAAGTACAACAAAACAACAAAAGTAGAGCCAGAAAACAATATATTTAAATTTTTAAAAGGTATTTACAATTTTATAAAAAAAATGAAATGAGGATGATGATGAATGAAGTGAGAGTACAATTAGATTACAAAAAAAAATATAAAGGTAGGAGAATAGGGGAATAAAGAGATGTAGTGGGGCCTAAAAGTCGAAGCGACACACGTTGCGATTGTAGAGGTAGGTTTCTTAGCAGCGACGACACGCAGCGCCTGAAGCCAGCACACGCCGGTTGCGCTTGTAGAGGTAAGTTTCTTAGCAGCGACGGCACGCAACGCCTGGAGCCAGCACACGCAGCGTCCGGAGCCGGCGCACGTAGCGCCTGGAGTAGGTGCGCTCAACGCTTAGAGCCAGCAGTTGCAGCGCCCAAAGGTAGCGCCGGCGGTAGGTGCACTCGGCGCCTGGAGTAAGTAGTCGTAGCGCCCGGAGTAGTGTGGCCCCCGCGCTTGTAGTAGACTCGAAGCGACTTCCGAGGTAGATGGAGGCTTGTAGGAATCCGGAGTGGTACGGCTCCGCGTTTGAAGAAGGCTTCGTCGAAGACTTCACGTGTAGGTGGAGGCTTGCAGGATCCCGGGGCAGTGCGGCCCCGGGATAAGGCCTTTAGGAGATACTTCCAATTCGCGAACTGAAGCGAGACTGCCTTTCTTCACCGATTGTTCGGCTTTTATACCTTTCTAGAGAGAACGGAAAAATTATTTAAATTAAACGCAAATTTTTTGTAAATGGTCAAGAGAAAAAAGTATTTATGTGGAATTATCGAAATAGGAACAACAGATCGGTAGCAAATTTGAATATAATTACTATAGCAACGAAATAAATAACAATATCAAAACATGTCAAATTATGGTTTTAGGTTTATAATAAGAAAACGGTAAGATTTAAGTGGAAAATGAGATATTATTGATATAGGAAAAAAGGTAGCGCAGCTGCCCACACAAAGCCCAAGATTGTAGAGTTACGGAAAACTAGCTAAAAGATCGAAAAAAGGTAGACTCCATTGACACCAATTTAAAAGTGCTGATAATGTGAAAATACGAAGTAGAAATGATTTGTTATTGTGTTCTTATGGTTTAAAATCGTTACAGGATCCTATGGAAATAAAGGTGATGTAAAATATCCAGTTTTGAGGTGAATGCAGAAAATCGAAACAGAATGGAAAAATGAATTTAAAATAATGTAAAATGGTATGTAAGTAGCATAACACTACATTATATAGTTTTACTCATTGTGTAGTATTTCCGTAAATGTAAGAAATTATTAAGCTTAAGGCTGCTTAGCGAGCTATGTAGAGCTGTATGCTAGCTTGAAGTTTCTTTGCGTATTTAAATGCGCATGTAAATGCGAATTTGTAATGAAGATCATAATAGCTCAAAAAATCTTCAACCGATTTGGAAGAAGCGTTATCGAGTAGCAGCTTTGTCAGCTATCAAGTGGTAAACGACGTGTAGGGCAGATCCTGCTAGATGGAGGGACGAACTGGTAACACATGTAAGAAGTTGATTTGTATACATCATGGTTTAGAACCGTGTTTTGTGGCATTTCATAGGGATGCCCTTTGTTCTGCAGTAGACTTGTGAAACTTTGTAATGATGACGATGATATAGCAACTGGGATCTTGTCGGAAACAACTTACCTTCTTCAGAGACACAACTTTCTTCCTAAGATTTATTCACACACAAAAGAGGAACCAAGCTACTCACCTTAAGGATACTGATATGCTTTGGTACTTCTGCACGCTCAGGTCAGAGACAACTGATCAGGTGATTTACTTATTTGGTGAACGTGTACATTTGAAGGCTATACTCATATAAATGGTTAGAGGCCTCAAATCTTCAAGTTAGTAAATGCTCAAGGTGTCGCTCACTGGATTAACTCCACTACAAACCTTACAAGGATATGAAGAACCAACTTCAGATCAATTAGATTATTCTATTAGGGATTTGTATAATGTGGCGTAGAAGGGATTAACTCACCTGGACTTAGAACGTATTCATGTAAGGACAATGGCCCAAGCTGAGAAAAAATTACACCCATTCAAAATGATAAAGATATGGCCGTACTATGACTACCCAAAGACTCCGGTAGGTGGGCTGGTGCTGGACAGAATTCAAAAGAATAACTTAGCTGATTTCAAGCAGTTTTACTTAAGTCCTTTGAGTTTAGCGCATGGTATCGAGCCATTTTCGATAGTAAATTGCAGGGGCGTTTGTTTGAATACATTGACACTCATCGCCACCGCTTCAGAGCAAACTCCTTGCAGATCCCTATGAACTATCAATAGAGTGTTTCCGTTTCAAACTATCAGCGCAATGGTCTTGAGGTTGTACTAAACAAAGCGCTAACTAAAAGACAAAGCTTTCCGGAAGGAAAGAATATCTCAATTTTCAACGCCTGCAGCCTAGACACAATGTTAGTGGTTGTGCTGCTAGGTGCGAAATTTCGTGGCAATTTATAAGTAATATAAATAGATCATGACCTGTCGATTTTGAAGAGTAGTCATTTATACAGGTTGTTTTTAATTTTTTTTTATTATAATTTAAGGCAAAATAACAAAACACTAATTTACAATTCCTCAATTTTATTATAATTGGTATTTCGTAACAATTAAGTTTTTAACATACATTTTTTCAGGAGAATAGTATTTGACTAAAGTGTTTGGAGATAATTGTGGCGATATTATTTCCGTAAATATTTTTTTTAACAATTACATATATTTCTCAGTTACTAATAGAGAAATATTAAATAAATGAATCTCTAGTAATTAAAACTGCAGCAATGAAAATGATATTATATTTTATCCTAAAGTTCACTGAATAATAAAGTTTTAAATCTTTGATAAAATGAACATAACATACATTTCGGTTGCAGTCAATGGCTCACTCGAGAATCACTTTGATGTTTTTTTAATTGGTACTGGTAGAGATATAAACAGAAAAAAATTTGAACGCTAATTCAAATATACAAAAATACATGCAATATTATGTTGGAATATTATGTCAAGTACCTAATTTATTCTTCTAACATATATAATTGGTTTGCCGTAATATTATTAAGTTGATCTAAGAAACAGTAAACAATATAAAATATCAATATTTACAGTTAAAATAGGAATACAGGTAATTAAATATTTATATAAACAATATAAATACTGATCTACTTAATAATAGCTATACACATATATTGCATCATCTTGCCTATTATCGCTTATACATTTAATATATAGAATGTCTTACTTCGATATCAGAATTCTATGAAAATGTTGGTTATAGGCAAGAAATCATAATGGTAAATGTATTAAGTACTAGTTTATAGTTTATATACACTAATGTGTTAACCTAGTTATTATCACGTTACATGGTTATGAACAACAAAGTTATAAACAATATTTTCCACAACAAGAAAGTCTTTCCTATTAATTGCTCCTCTATTAAATAGAATGTATGACATTTCTATGTAATAATAATAACAGTTTAAAATAAAATTTTCATTAAGCTTGCGTAAATTATACTGATTGATATTTTACGATAATATTCAAGGTCTCTATAATTTTTTTCTTTGAGTTTGAGTTGCATTTTATATTTTAATTATTTGCTGTTTGATAGGGTAATAATGGTTTAAATAAGCGTAGGAAGTAGTAAGATCGCAGTTATGGTTAACGTTGCGGTTAATACGTTGGGCGCGTGGTTTACACTCATCACGACAATCTTACCATCGTTGGAGTACCATTTATTAGCCCGGTCTGGTACTCGGTTGCTTTTCTCGTTATCGTCGTTATTTGAGATGTCATCATCATCGTACATTTCTGTACCATACTCATCGTCTGACGTAGTCTTCTCATCCAAATATTGGTAAATATGTCTGTCGTTACCCGGTATTTCTGTATCAAAATAAAAACAAATAAATCTTATAATTACAAAAACAATGTTACTTTTATATAGCCTTATAACACACGCGGTAAATGGTTGAACGTACAAAAAGGCAATCTCACCGTCCGTGGCGCACCCTGATTATTGATGGGTGAGAATTTGCCGAACGACTGATGGCGGAAAATCCATTTAAAAGCTTAATCCAAACTTTGCAAAAAACATGCGGCAACACTAACTTTTAAGTAATGCATATCAGCTGGCGCATTCTTGGAAGGGACTGTGTCCAGCAATGAGTTAGAAGATACTTCTGGCGGTGTTATTCATGATTCGTGATCTTTCAACTTTGCGAATTATAATATTGTAATACAATATTGTAATAGTACGTAGTAACTGGTACTTTTCTTTTTTTTCGTTTAACGTAAACTTCAACGTTAAAATATTACATAAAGAGCTTAGAAACACGAAATGGATATGATTGTTATTTATTTAATCACAATATAAACAAATATAAAGAGAATACTGCAGTGATACTCTTAATCTGAGTAGTATGGATAGCTATAATAAATACAAACTTTTTTACTATTTACGTGGTAGAGAATTGTTGCAGCTATATTAATAGTATAATTGTAGAACGAATGGGTCGGATCGACCGGTGAAGGACCACGTTCTCACAGAATACAAGCGTAAAATAGCAGCTGCTGTGTCTCGTATGGTGAGTGTAGAGAACCGGAGACCCTTTTTAGTGTAAACGAGACATTCCATCTTAGTCGTCAGGGGTGACAACGCATCTGCATTTTAATTTGTAATTGAGGATAGATGTAGACGTCTACGGGCCACATAGCCACTTACCATCATGTGGACTGTATGTTCGTTTATCACTCTTATCCTATATAGAAGAATACAGACTTTAAAGCTTTTTATATTAGTTTTCAGACGAAACAATACGCTTCTTTTTAACTGTAGGTGTGGTACTTCAAAATAGGAGGAGGTTTTATATTAGACAGACACGTATGTTTTTTTATGTATGTTCACTGATTTCTCCAAAATGGTTTAAAGATTTAAAAGATTCGCTTTTTACTGCAACCTAATTTACAATTCAAGTAGTCTTAAATTAATTTGTAGAAATAATTCCATCCCAAATCTTGGGAAAATCGAGGATGGCATTTTCAGTGTAACTATTTAGATGACATTCTTGTTGTTACCTTTTAGATCGTGATATTGCTTAGTCCTCTCAAAAGGGCATAAATATATTTATTTTAATAAAAAGTAAAAATCGACGTAGAACTAGTAAGATTAACATAATTTTACATTCTGAAGTTGGCACTAAGACATATTTTACTAGTATTAAAGCCCCGCAAATTAAAGGAAATAAAAATAAGGGCTTTTGATATTAATTTATTTAAAGTATAAGTTAAAGTTACAGCCTATATACGTCCCAATGCTGGGAACAGGACTCATCTTATTTCTGAGAGGGTTTTAGGCAAGGAAATGTCAGCCGCGCTACACATGCATTGGGGCAGCGCGACGGACACCCTTCCCTTCCTTACGGTACTATTAAGTACCGGATGCTTTTTCATTAAATGCATTAAATGCGCAAACACTTCATGCTTATACTCACTGGCGATACTTTAGAGAATGATTGGTGTGAGCCAATAAGAGCACACACAATTTGGTATATCGCTAGAATCGACCCATTTGATCTGCAAGTAACAATTTGTCAGTGAGTTCGCCTTGCGGTGTGTTTGTTATAGATTTAAAATATAATATCATAGGTAAGTTCAAATTTTTTCGATTATATCGTAAGTTTATATTGTCAATTAGATTTCTAAATACTCGTACTTACATAATGTATTATTACCTTATTTCATGTGTATAATTTATAAAAACCGACATGGACTAAAAAGTACCGTCAGAAACTTTTCATCTTATAATTTATTGAATTTTATAATAATTATACACGATGAATGGGACTTTGTTTCGTTATATACCAATATTTATCTTCTTATTATGGTTTCATTGTTGTTATAGATGTACGGTAATGGATATTTCTAAGGAAACTGTCCACATTGAAGCTCTATGGTTAGAGAATCTTCCAGACTGTAGCGAAGATTCTGATAGGTGTTTCCGATGAAGAAGTCGAAAATGATCTTCAAGTACCCTCATTCAGACGCTGCAATGACTATTTTGAGTAGACTATTGCGAAGGTATTAGACAAAATTGCTTCATCGCTGACAAATGAAGAAGTGCCATCAGGTTGTCCTGTTGATCAGGTATCTACATCTCCAATCCCTATCCTCAAATTGTTCTTTCTTCAACAAATGCGTCCATACCTAGAGCTACCCGGGCGAAAGTAGTCGAACCAAACCGTAAGTGGAAGAAACGAAACTTACAGACAAATATATCGAAATATAATGCAAGTACTAAAGTAGTACGAGAAGGTTTTGCTCACTGTACTAAACCGAGTGATATATTTTTTTATATTGATTGACGATATATTAGGATTGTATACCGAAGTAATCATTATGCTACACAGAAAAGCTAGATATTGAATCTAAAGACGGAGGAAAGCATTTATTGGTATGAATTTCTATATGGGCTACAATACTCGACCGGCTTGGACAGACAATTACTCTTCGGCATCTGATCAGAATAATCCACTTATATGCAACAACATGCCAAGAGACAGATTTGCTATGATTTTATCACATCTACACTCCAAGGATAATGTTCAAATGCCATAAAACTGAAAAGATAAGCTATATAAAATCAGACCTATTGTTGATGTACCCAACAAAATATTTCAAGAGAGCTATCATGGGACCCGTGAAAGAGTGGAAGCGTGGACGAATCGATGATCAAATTCAAGGGTGGGGTCTGTACTAAAACGAAAATAATTTTTTCTACTCTGAGACATGTATGTTTGGGTAACAGAGGTATACATTGGCCTACATTTTCGGAAAGAGAGGAAGGTGTTAGGTTTGCAACTTCAAGAAGATTCAGTCCTAATCTTATACTAAATGTTCTCACTGCAATGTATTTTTGTGGTTGCATGTTAAAAAAAAACTATTTTATTGAATATCACGAGGTCGACGTTTGATCTCATTATTTTTATTTACTCATATTTTCTATCATAGTTCCTAAATTGCGATATATAAAGTAACTGACAGTACAAATTAGTTAAGGTCTTACAAATAGTATTTCTAGGTATAATAAAAATCTAAAAAAAAATATGTTCGTTTATTTTTACCTACCATAGTAATATAATAAAGTAAAATTTAAAAAACTATTTAAAAACCTATAGCCCGGTAGGAAAGGGTAGATAAAGTAATTTATTAATAATTATTAATTATTCCTTGATAATTATGTCTTAGCGCAGAATTCAGAAGCTGTCATATGGAAACTATATTATTATTTTTAGATTTTGAAGTCGTTTTCCACTTTTTCGGTTTCCACTTTTTTCAGTCTGCAGCAGCTCCTCTTAGATTACCTCCTCGTTTGTCACTTTATTGTTGTAAAGACGTTAAAATCTATAGTTTCTTCTTGCTTAACCTGGCCCTGTGGGCCTGGCTATAGACCCGTAACAGTCTACTGCTGGATATAGGCCCGTTCCTATGTAGGAAGGATTTCCCTTGATTCACACACTTAACAGGCATATGATATCGGCAGGCGTAGCGATGGCATTTTATATCTGGCACATAACAGATGGGATAATTAATAGATATAACTCCCTTGGGAGAGATGTAAAAACTTAGTGCAGGATGCTACATAAGTAGATACTATCGCAACCTCTCATCTCAGGGGTACCTTGTTTTGAGCTAGGGCAGCATCAGAGGTAGCTGAACTAAGTAATTGGCGCAAATATGTCTCTGAGAGGTGACTACATATAATTTTTATTTTATTTTTGACGCGGATCTTATTTAATTAATTTTATATATTTTTAACATCTTAAATATGGGATAATGTTATTTATCCATAGAGGAATAGTCACTCTGACTCCCAAGTAAAGAAACGGTGTGATGGATTCTCATACACCGTCACTATATGCATGGTAACAAAATAAACAAGTTAAATTTTTAAAAAAACTGTGTTAAAAACTTTAATATACCACGGTTTTTTATATTATTATTTCTACATTTTCATCCGATTCTGAGCTATGTTCAAAATTTCAAGCCTCTATCTAATCAATAAGTGCTCGATATTAGAATTGCAACGTTGCACTTGGAACGACAGACAGAGAGACGCATAAACAAGAAAGTGACTTAATAAAAACGTGGTAAAATAGTAATAATCGACAAAAATACTTTACCATATAAACGAATCTTGCTTTCAACGTCGCCAAGAGAGTTTTTCGCTACGCAAATATAACTTCCTAAGTCTTCTCTGCGAATATTTTTAATAGTCATGGTCATTTCAGCTTCGAACATAGATTTTTGTCTCACAGTCATCTCGTGGTGCTCAGATGGTATTATCAGCTCACCTGCGAAACAATTTATTACTTAAAACACTTACTTTCAAATTCAATATTAGAATTTCATCTTTCTTGCGCGAAGTTTTATGAAAAATGTTAAAACTTGCTGCAGACACCTAGGAGTTTTATGGCTGTGTTATAATTTGTTTGGTTTCTTATTAGGGATGCCAAACAAAGTAAAATAAATTTTGTATGTCGCGAACATGCGAAAACCGGCTTAATGGTTTTTGTTCATGAAATTAATTGAGTTGTTCCAAATTCAATTTTAAATAATATTAACGTGTCAACGTTAATACCCACTGCATGAAAAAATGCGATATAAATCTTATTTTATCTTCTTCTAACTAATCTTTCTTTGTCACTTAAGTATATTAGATAGCAACTGGGCCTACGAGTACTTATATAATTAAGTATATACTACAGATATCATATACTTCGAGTTTATGCGCAGCAGTGCACTTTTCAAAAGTTAATGAAAATTATAATGATTAACAATATTTACCTGGATCTTTAACCCAATAATTGATAGATTTGGGTGAAGACTCAACATAGCACTCGAGGGTAACATCAGTGCCGAGGGGCGCGCCAACAAGTTGGTTAGGTACTTGGATTACAGGATGAACTGCAAATCGAAATATCATATTTAAAATTATCTTGCTTCGATATTGTATTTTTATTTTTGCAATTTTACACAATATTTTAATTAAAAAATATTTAAAACTTTAAAACTACAACGTGAATATTCATAATTAAATATATGGACTCAAAACTTATAAAGAATGACATTCAATTGTTCGACATCTGACTAAAAACAAAATTCTAATGTTACCATTTTTGATACTTTTTCTAATTTTAATTTATTTATATTAAATCAAATAGATAAATATTTATCGAATCCTGCTCATTTTAAGTACAAATTCCTTAACTTTTGGACTCTCATTCCAAGACAGAATTTAAGCGCATTTAACGTGCATCTGTAAAAATATCTTATGAACAACCCATCTTTTGCACGTTCATATTCGAAAATATATAGAGCTTGTTAAAACTTTAACTTACAATGAACGCTTATATGAATCCTCTTACTAACTGTAGGTGGAACTCCATTACTCGCGATACATAGATATGTTCCCATTTCAGATCTTGATATCTTTGTCAACTTCAGTACTTCACCTTGATATGATAATACTGTAAAAAAATATACAATTATTTACTCGGTGGCAACATGCATAAAATTTAGCAAAATTTTACGTCATTCAATTAATTTAAAAAAATATTTTCATGTAAAGTGATTTAATTTTTAACCAAGTTTTTGTCATCAAACTTACTATCTTTTATGTTCTTTAACTGTGCCTTTAATATTAATAAATGCAGAATGTCGCCTCTAGTCTAGCCAAAAAAGTTGGCACCCAGCCCTAAACCACATACCCAACTTTTAATTCCCAATATTGTAAGCAGCTGTCTTCTCCCATAGAATTTAAGCTCAACACATTCATTTGACAGGATACTGTCGTTCTCAATCAATAGCACTAAATCATAGTCGTTATTCCTTTGAAAAACCAAACACAAAGTAGCCCCTTTTTCGATATTTCGGGCCAGATATTACTAACAGATGATACTCAGTCTTTACGAGTATTACTTTAAGTTGTTATCAAGTAGATGTCGCTGCCCATATCCTGTTTCAGATTACCTCTGACTCCTTTAATGACACTAGATATTATGCACAATGACATTATATAAGAGGCACACTATAAATTCAAATTTGAGGTAACTAAACTACTGTCTTTTAAGTAGAGTTATATAATACGTTTAGTGTAATTTTTGACAAGTTACATTTACAAAAGCTTTTACAAAAATTCACTTTGCAAATATCCGCGTTATAAAATAAAATGATGTGTCTTACCTAGTATGAAGAGCACCTCCCGCCCTCCCTCAATTGCGTGCACTATCCCCGTCACCACTAATCCCAGCACCGCTACTCTCAACACCAACATCTGGGATTAGTGGTGACGGAGATAGTGCACACAATTGAGGGAGGGCGGGAGGTGCTCTTCATACTAGGTAAGACACATCATTTTATTTTATAACGCGGATATTTGCAAAGTAAATTTTTGTAAAAGCTTTTATATAATGGATTTCCGCAAAGTAACGCTGATTCTATTAATTAAGTTACATTTAGGTTACATTTTAATATAAGCAGCAACTGTAAATTCATAATAGAATGAATACATTGGAGATCAAATTTGGATTTCAATGAATATCGTTATTAAGTGACTTATTTAAGGGTTCTAGCATTCGTACAATGAGACCTAGAGGTCTATTCAACGCAGAACTCTACTAATTACGACAAACTTTAAACAATACTGGACGCAAAACTCATCTCGAGAATAGTCGCCGCGCAGCTCATTGTGGCCCAACAAATGCGGTCACACAGACGCTCGTATTATTATACATATTCAGAAAAACAATGCCGTCCTTGCACTATTCAAATAAACTAAGACAAATGAAATATTTTTCCTGCAGCTAGCTGAGTTAAGTGAATTTTTGAGGTCAACTTCTTGTTTTAGCAGTTTGTTTAACAATATTGCTTGTGAGAATAAGTTTGTCGTTTTACAATGTTGAAATCCAGATACTTGTGATATTGTATCTTGAGCGTAATATAAGTTAATCTGTGGAGATCCGGAGGACGCCAGTTGACAAATTTATCGAAACCTCCAAAGAGTATGATAATATTTCACTACGTTTACTCAGAACCATATAGAAGAGTGCTCAGAAGAATTATTTTTTAAATATTATTTATAAGAATTATACAACTAATATTTTAATAGAATTAGTTTCGTTACTAACTAACACTTCTCTAAATTCAGAGAATTTACTTCAAATGACAAGTTTCCGCCTTTGCCTTCGCGTTGCGTTTACTGCAAATACATATTTCAGTATATTTCCATCGCCGCGTGAGTGTAAGAGACAACTACACATTTTTAAAAATTAAGTGGATCCAAAAGAAAGTTTGATGTTAGTTTTTTTTTTTTTATATAAAGGTAAGTTTTATATAGAAAACTAACACATTTTTTAAAAGTTATATGGTTTTTTCAAATTTATTTGCTTATATTTCGTAACAACTTTATAAAATTTGCATTTAAAATACTGTGTCATTCACGTATGAAAGTAAGTAGTTCACGTAGTCAAAGGTAACTGAAAATTAAATATAAAGTTATCACTATTAATCATGTAAAAACACATATTTTCATATTCCACAAGGGTCAATGTACAAACATTACGTTTTATGTTATAATTTCGATATATATAGTGAACATTATCGCGAAGTTGTTTTCAACAAATATGTCGTTGGTCAAAGATAGCGTAATAAAGTATATGCCTATAATTGAATATTTTTAAATTTTTTAGTGGCTCCTACTGAGTATGTCGACATAATTATATTATAATATATTTCTTTTCTTTATGAAATTTCGAGTGGTTCCATGACCTTGTTTCTTTCTTCATAGTGGTTATTTGATTTTAACATATAGATATTGGATTTTAATATAATTATGAGGATTCCTTTGTTTTTTTTTTTATAGGATAAGGGTGACAAACGAGCACACAGTTCACCTGATGTTAAGTGGTTGCTGCGGCCCATAGACATCTACATCTATCCTCTGTTACAAATCAAAATGTAGATGCGTTGTCACCCGTGAGGACTAAGATGGAAAGCCTCATTTCCAGTAAAAAGGGCCTCCGGCCACCTGCACTCAACAAGCGAAACGCATTTGCCTTAGTTGTAGAATTGACATATAATATTTGAATTTTTTTGTTTTCAGAAAACTTGTTTGGTTATATTATTTATTACTGTTTTTGTTTAATAAATTATTTGATGTTGATATTCAATGACTTTTTGTACACACAAAAATATTTTTACAAATTATAAAATTACCCCCTCATTCTTCTTTCCTTTTAGTGCAGAGCGTGGGGCATGGAAATAAAGGGGAGCTCAAAATTTTACTGCCACAAATATCGCCGACCTCGGCAATGCTGCCCTAAACATCGCACGGATCATCCGCGTTCCACAGAGATTAAATAAAAAAGAATATTATTTTTTTTCCTTCTCCATTTTTTTATCACTATTACAAGATAAACTGTTCCTCCCTATAACAATCACTGCCGAACAAAGTCCTCCCCAATATATTATCTCATCAGGGTATATTTGTCATATTTACTACTTAAGCGCGTTGAAAACCGCAGTTTTTTTTATTTTAGTCGCTTCCCTCTGTTGCCACTAGATATGAGTGATAAATAACATCACGGTGAAAAAGTCACCGTGATCAGCTCAAAAATCACAATGACTAACTATGTTCCAAAATAACGTTGTTCCTTCGCACCATTACTCCTATCATTGATTTAACCAAATAAAAGGAACTACCTACCTTACTACTATGTAGCAAGGTACGTGCACCGTATACTAGAACGGTACACCAACTGATCGACTAGGTTAGTTGAAATTCGTATATTTCAAAAATAATAATTAGAATGGTTCTTATAACATAGCTTATGTAAGGAAGGTAATAAAAAATCGACTTCTCAAATAAAACCTAATACTAAATCTAAAATGTATATTTAAAGTCAAAGTCTTTCTAATCTTTCAAGTAGTTATCCAACGTTATTAACGTGACAAAGTCACACTGATTTTTTACTATGATTTTTTATAACAGGGACGACGGTCACGGTTATTTAAAAATAAAACTTTTCCCCAAGTCTAGTCGTCTCATACGACACCCACGGAATAATATAAATATTTATGCACTGCCACTACACAGTAATTAATAATTTCCCAATATATTTTATTTATCGACAACAATCGTCGTTTCTTTAGCACTCACTTGATCTTCATACAAATAATTCCATGTTTTAATTGTTGTTAATTTTATTTTTATTTTTGGATAAGAACATAATTATTAATTACTCCAATTAATATTGACATTCATTTAAAAAAAATATTATCCTTGGTCTGACCTACTGTACTCCTTGGATGGACCATAGGTCTGACTAAATTGGTCCAATAAAATGTCAGGGCCTGAGAGGTTAAGACTAAGAATCACATAGAACCATTTTTTTATATTATTTCTTAAGTTGTCATGAATTCATCAACACAAAATAACACGACCTTTCAATAACTATTATTCACAGGTCGCGTGCCTGAGTGTTGATATTATCGGTAGCGTTTTGGATTTGTTCGAGGGGAATCGAATTGCTTTTCTGCAACAGTAATTTGTAAAACAATATTCAATGACTTTTTTTCAAATCGTTCATGATTTAAGAAAGATAAAATAACAACAATTTTTTTTAATCTATCATATTGTTTAATTAATGCCGCTTGGTAGCTTTTGCTGTTCTAGATTATCTGTAATATTTTTTTAAGTCTTAATGCTTTACTTTTATTTATTATTTATATCTAAAGTATACATTATGTATTATTTTGGAATCCTTTAAACAATTTACTTGCATTATTTTTAAAAATAAGTTGAAAGAGAACTTTACAACATAATTCGAAGAATTACATTAAAAAAACACCTGAATGCTTACGAAAAGTCCTGAAATAATTATCACATGTCTACATGTTATACGTTCAGATGATCCAAATGTCGCTGGAGCGACGGGTGGGAGCTGATCTGCGCGCGCTTTAAGGTGGTGACAACTGGTGAGAGCTCGCGCAGGACAGGGAAAAGTAACGTGTTCTCGTGTAAGAGTACAAGACCCACTTCGGCGTCACTGAGTCACAGGAGTGAGTGTGTGACTTGCGTAAATAATATCTATATTTTGATTACATTTTTATCGACATTATATATTTCTGCTTATTATGAATAAATTTTAGCAAAACTTCTGTTTTAATTTCTAAAAAGGTTATACTAAGAAATAATGAAAATATAAATTATTATACTCTTTTCCAATTACCTTTGGTTTTTGATCCATTTTGATCCCTCACGACAATTTCTTGTCCATCTTCTCTCTTCCACATCACACGTGGTGGAGGGATTCCTCGCGCTTTGCAGGATACTCGTGCCGTTCCTCCTTCTGGCACCATAGTATCACCCGACGTCTCCTCAGGTATAAAATCAGGTGGAATTACAACTTCTAAAAATCCCATCTATAACAAACAATTTTTATACTGAATTGAGACGTGGTCCTTCACTGCTGGCCGGATGATGAAGCTCAAAGTCGCTCAGCGAGCATGGAGAGGGCTATGCTCGGAGTTTCTCTACTTAATAAACTTAGAAATGAGGATATCCGCAGTAGAACCAGTGTGACCGACATAGCCCAACGGATTAGTAAGCTGAAGTGGCAATGGGCCGGCCATATAGCTCGAAGAACCGACGATCTGGTAAGATGTGCAAGAAGTCGATGGATGCAGGTAACTCAGGACCGTGCTTTGTGGCATTCCTTGGGGGAGGCCTATGTTCAGCAGTGGACTTGTGAAGGGCTGAAATTATAATGATGATGATATTTGTCTGTTAGAAAAATAATCGATATCCAAATTTTTAAAATCAGAATATGTTTTAAGTAATCGGTGATAACATATTTCATTTATCTCATTAGTAATTTTAACTTAATATAATTTTAGAAATATTTTCAGTTTATATGGATATTTTTAGAATGTTTATCAGTTTTCAAGTTACGAAAGATAGGTATTTGTTTTATACAATGGATTTCTGCCCCATACATAAATTTCACACGGGCATACATCCAGACCCCGGAACAATTATTTATAGGTCATACAAATATTTGTTCCGTGCGTGATTCAAACTCGCGGCCCTTAGCGCTTCAACTCATTGCTAAGCTACTGAACCACGGAGGGATCATTAGTTATAGCATTGTTTATATAAAAAATACAATACTTCAAATCAAGTTTAAATTTCAATTGTCAAATCAAGTAATAAAAGCAGAAACCATTTTCGATTTCTTTTATTTTTACAACACAAGTTTAAGTTTATTTATAGCCAAATATTAAAATATGAAAATTCTCATTTCCCAATCAAAATATAAGTATTTGTATAAACTTTGATAAATAACAAACATCTGTCACCAGGAAAATGATAATAGTGCTTGGAGTCGTTATTATAACATTTTCATCTTTAGATTTTCTCAAAAAAATGCTACTACATCGACGTATAATGTCGCATCATACGTTTTTATTTGAAGTTCGCTGTTGTACTGACGACCTTTTTTTTCAAGAATGCTCTATCAGGCATGCATTTGTTGTAAAAAATACTCGTACTCAATACTCTAGGCAAGCAGGTTGCTGGTAATGCTGCTCACCATTAATATCATTTAGAATTTGATTTCGGCAGTTTGATACATTTCCCGCCATCAGTCGGTTGCCAGAGGCACGTTCGTCAAATAGCGGGGTTCACCGCATGCAAGTGAATAGATATTTTCATTTTGGTACACTACTTTGGAATTTATGGTAGGGCTAGTGGGGCATCAGCCACTAAAATACATAAATGGCACTTTTTTTTAAATATTTTAATTATTAATCCGTGAGTAAATTCAACGCAATTACTCTGGGATTAATTGAAGGGATTTAGCTTAAACCGTCTACCGACCGATGCATGTGGAAATTGCATGCAGATACTTCCGCAAAATTTATTTAATTGCGTGGTAATAATGTCAATTAAAAGGATTATAAATGACTTTATTAAGTACTGTATTATTTTATGCATACTTTTTACTGCACCCTTTTTACTGGGAATGACGTATCCTTAGTCCTCAGGGGTGATAGCGCATCTGCAATTTTATTCATAATCCAGGATAGGTGTTGATGTCTATGTGCACTCCACTTACCATCAGGTTGGAAGGTGTGCTCGTTACTAGCCCTTATTTAAAAAAAATATGTTTAAATTTCTGATAATATTATGTTCATTTTTAATATTTTAGACATCCATTATTTAACATGGAAATAAATATTGTGTTTACTAACTTGACTCTTCATAGGATCAGTATTAATCTGGCACATATATTGCCCTCGGTCCTCTTCTTGTACGTTTTTGATGTGTAGGTACCAGGTGAAGTGGTCGCTGTGTGACACGGATACGCGGTGGTTGTGCGTGATCACTAGCTCGTGGATTGCTTGGATCGCTTTTGTATCCGCTTTCACCCAACCCACCTGTCATAGGCGAACAAAGAACGTTATAAATATTCGACGCTTATAACGAACTACACCTACGGTATTGTTATCTGTTACATGAAAGTGTTCGTCTATTAATTTGTAAATTTTTATCGTCTATTTTATTTTAGATAATCGACATAGCTTTTATAAATCAATGACTGTTAGGAGAGTGTTATGTAATTAAATAAAGCAATTATTTATGTATAAATTCGAATTAGATTTTATTCAAAGACAATAGGAAAATAGTTATCAACTGTTTTATTATAGTTACCAAAAGTAAATTATGGGTACTATTTTTTTTTCTAAACTACACTATTTGTAATTATATATTTTAGCAATTATATTTAAACACTTACCCGGTAATTGCCTAGATTGACGACAGTACACTGGAATGTGGCGTCACGCCCGATGGGAACCGTCAGGTTGGTGAGAGGTTCACCAAACTCGGGCGCGTCTACACCTCCTGCCAATACATATTTTTTATGGAAAATGAATTGCGTGAAAAAGGCTTATTAAATATGTATTTCATCAAAGAACTCGTTTTATTTTATAAATGTTTAAGTTGGTATCCCAAATGTTTAATTAAAAATATTAATAAAATTTGTATAAATTTGAAATACTCGTATGTTTGATATATGGAAAAACTAATTTTGAAAAACTTCTCGCAAAATCATCATAATAACAACGACTCACAAAAGTTAATAAATAAATGAACACTACACAATATAGGCTAATTGTAGTATACATTTACTCGTAGTTGGTAATTGAACTTTGACGTTGTTTTCCTGTAAATATTACTCCTTTTAACCGACTTTCAATAAGGAGAAAGTTCTTAATTCTATTTTGTACTTTCATATAGATAATATCTGCGAGATTATTAAATCGATGTTTATCGAAAGATTACTTTTACAATAGTATACGCGTTTTAAGCAGATTCTGTAATATGGGTTACATATAAGCAATAAAGGTATCCAAACGAATCAGTTAGTTGAAATGGCAATGGTGCCGGCGATATACCTTGGAGAACCAAATACCTACGAGGAAGATAGGTTCACAAAGGGCAGAATGTTAGTAATGGAGAGTGAAGTTAAGTCGCTCTCCATTAGATGGAGTGACAAACAGGTAAGAGATGCTGTCGATAAATGCAGGTGTATTAAGAAGTTTTGTGGATGATGGTTACGACGATGTAAAGACGCACGTAAAAAGTTATTTTTTACATTTACATTTTTTTAACAAGTTTTTTTAGTACTAAAAAATTCGCAATGCTCACAAAGAAACGCACAATTTTTGAGGCAAAGATAAGCAAACAAAAACTTATTTATATTCAGATATGAAACCAATAATCTTATCTTATTCAACTATAGACTTTTACTATCATTGATATAGTTTGGCTTCTAAGACCTTGGCGGATCAACATGAACATCGGCCTCCTAACGAATCACTATACCTATAATATTATTATATGTAAAGAAATTTACGTATAAAAATTTACTTTCCTTCACCTTAAGATTACAATAAACAATTTCATTAGTATACGTACTGTGAAATTGACGGCGAGCCTTAGCTCCAAATTTATCACAGCTTCTTAATATTTTTGCATTTTTATACAAATCAGTCAGTCATTATAAAATACAACTTTACTTTCAAAATCACAATTGGAGTGATCGTGAAAACTCATAATGCATATGTACAATAATACTTACACAAAAAATAGATGTCCCATCTGGTCGTTAGTAAAGTTTTATGTAGAAAGTAGAAGCTGGAAAAAGTCCTGCGTGGGATCATTGAATTGAGAAACGTGACGTCTGCTGATAATATGTATTAAGAAAATATATTGCTATTTTTAGTTTATTCGACAGAAATATATCAGTGTATCTGCTTAAATTTACTCTCAAGGTTTTTCATATGTAGATGTCATTCAATGTAAAGTAGTAATATGTAGTTGAAGATAGAATATGTCGTAATCGTTGTATAATATTTTGGTAAGACTATGATTAAGAGAGAAAGAGAGAGAGAGAGAGATTGAGAGAAGTGAGTTGGGATAGAATCCAATTGACTTCTAACTGTTATAAATAAAATAAAGCCTTTCGCATTTTACGCCATAATTTCCTCACATAGAAATTAACAAAAGATTAAAAAGTAATAAATGTGACCATGTGATTGGTTAAGTAGGAAATCACTAATTTCGTAAATATTTTACTGACCGTATGTCATATAAACTGATTCTAGATATGTGATTCATGTCAAAGTATTGAATAACGCTACACAAAAGCTAAGTACTTTATGGTTATTAAGAAAAATTATTAAACCATTATTTTTTTTGTTTATTTAAAATTTTATCATAAGCTTTTGTTGTGAAGTAATATCATCAGCATCTTTTTTTTAACGGACTCTCAACTCGGGAGTAAAGGCTTTTTTTCACATATGTGCCGACGGGTAATCTTAATGTCAGTATAAGATAAACTAATAAGCTAAAATATAATAAGCAGAAACGAACTCAGTTTGCTCGCGTAGTATGAAATATAAGCCGCCCTACTACTGAGTTGCTATCGCCGTCGGATCATCGATTAGTATTACTCATTATTAATCTACACACAGTCAAAATGAGCAGCAAAGTAGCAACGTGAGTGCATCGACTCGAGTCAATGAACGCTAAATGACATTTGACTTTAATAAAATATAACTAAATATAATAAACTTCGATATAATTAAAAAAGATAACTTCGAATTAACGCGCTTTTAAAACACACTAAAATACAGTTTTCGAGAGGAAATGAGATTTAAAATAAAATCGTATCATTCCACTATAATAAATAATGCTATTTCGTATCTCAGACTTCAAAATATACTAATATGGGTATATTGTAGTCGCAGTTGTAGCAAGCTCCTGTGCAGGTAAATGATAGATGCCAAACGGGATTTCTCAGTAAATCAACTATTATTTTCAAGTACCGCGTGAATCTTATTTTATATTCAACTTGTGCAAAAATAAATACTCATAATTTTTTTTAACCATAATTATAACATTTATAGGGATAGGGTTCATCAGTGGACTTGTGTTGTGATTGTAGATAGTGGGATAGTTGAGGAGGGCTATGGCTGCCACATGAGTTGCTTGTGGGGGTTGGTCTGCTCAGGTCTGCTATACGTTGATAAACTCCTCAGTTTTTTGAGTAAATGATAAAATATACTTCTGTAACCGATGGGTCTGTTATAGCTTTCCATTTTGTATATACTAGGCTATGAAATATTAACCTAAAAATAAGATATCAGTGGAGTTCTCTTTGCCGTTTCTTCTCCGGTCAGTAAAACTTAATTTCTTATTTATTTTAATTTTATGCGAAATATAGAATTCTTTAAAATATAACTTTATTAAATTTAATTATATTTAAGTATAAATAATACTGTGTCGACACTACCATTAATGAATTAACATCATTTGCTCAACAAGTATTATATTATACGATTGAATCGAATCGTTACATTCATTACAGACTATCGGAAGTCCAATGCTGAATAAAGGCCTTCACCATTGATTGCTCGGCTCGAGACGTGTTGGACACCGCAGTGTTTTATTGTTGTGCGTTGTGTGCTGTATCAGGAAGACTTTGTTGCCCATCTCTTGTTGCAATTACTTCTCGCACGCACAGACGCACGCACGCGCGCACGCACGAATGCACGCACGAATACACGCAAACACGCACGCACGCACGCACGGACGCACGCACGCACGCACGTACACACATGTATTAAGTGTGTAGACCTAATTGAAAAGAAAATTGTCTTGTAGAGGAATGATAAAAATACTAATTGTACTAGAATATGCCTTGTGAAATGTCTTACTGTATTAAATTAGTTTCTAAGACAAGTGCTTGAATTGCGTGGTTAGGAAGACTGATGAGCGGGAAGGTAAGTTTCAAAGACATTAGTTTGTGGGTCGTACACTTGTGGCCTTATCGGGAATGTCGCCACAAAGTTGTAGTCGTCGACATTAACTATACAGTCACCGGCAGATGCACTTTGTTGCGAGCACCTTGCAACAAAATGTCAACTCTACATTTCTAGTTGCCCGATCTGCGTGGCTTAACTTTAGAAACGCGAAGTGACACAAATAACTTTAGCGATACTGATGATAGTCGTAGACGCTCCACAATTACAGCATTTAAACTTTAAATTATTCAAGAATTGGATCATTTATTATGAGACTGAAAAAAGTGTTTATAACGACGGTTATTACACAATGAAATTTTGTTGTGGACAATTAATGTACAATTATCATATTTTATTCGTAGTGTTTTCGAATTACGTCATGTTTCGAAAAATAAATTACAATTTGCTTGTAATTTTATGAAACGTTCAACGTTTTAGGAACTTCTATAACATAAGTAATTTATCCATTTTTGGTTATTAACATTAAGACCTCTACAACTATTAAGGGAAGGAAGTTAGCGGTAATAATAATAATTATAGGTATTACATATTATAATATGTTATTAAATTTTGTATAAAATAAAGTTTTATTGTACTATAATAATTGTATTAGAGAATCGTCATTTCGTCCCGTGGGTGTCTTACGAGGCGTCTATAAGGCCAGAAATATCTCATGGTTTCTGATAGATAGCGGTATACATACTTTAATAAATTTACTTAAATAACATTGAAATATAACAGAAAATATTTAAACTATAATAAATATTAGTAAATTACACGAAAAATCTCGCCGCTCCCAGTAGGATTAATTATATCACGCGTTGCCAACTTGTCAAATGTAACCTAAGTTTTTGTCATTGTACTCTGTAATTACTAATCACACTACATCTCATCCATTTAAATAGAGCACAGCGAAGCCAGCATCATTGTTTGACGGCAGAATAAAAAGGGTGAAAAGGTGATACCCCCCATTCAAACGACCTTTATACAAAATCTAAGTCAAAGCGCGTTTAAGCATAAGTTGGAGTTGGAGTTGGAGAGTAGATAACTATTATTTATCTACTTTTTAAAGTAATGCCAAATATTCTTATTATATTCTCTTTATATCTTCTCGATTGAGAAGAACGGTGGACGTGTCCCGTGTGGTAAAGTGCCAAGTGCATCCGGCTTTTGCTGGCACCAGGCAACTCCGTAATCCCCAGTTGAGACATGGATTTTGTTAGACCACGAGGAAGAAAACTTCTTTAAAAAAATCATCCCAAACATAAGTGTTGCATGCTGAAGGGTTGTCAGTCATTAGCGCTTGTGGGAGAAGAGGATTTAGGGACCAAAAAAGGAAAATGAGCAGGCTCAGTGTACCCACATCTGACTGGTCAGGCAGAAGAAAAACCCGTGTCGACTCCGCCACCATTCGAAACTCGGAATGCCTCGGGTATATCGTGGATAATGCACCTTAGGGACTAAAGACTCTTGAATTTAGCCCCCGGATGCGCGAAGATGACAACCTCTATAAAAATTATCCAATGCTCAAGC